TCCAACACTACAGACTCTTCTGCTGACGCTGCTGTGGGGGCAACACTAAGGTCAGGCTGACTAGGTGCAGGGTCTAGGAACCCTTCAGGTTTTGAGCTCTAAAAATTTTCCAGGGGTAGGCCCTGAGGCTTCAAGTAGTTTCTTTTTATAAAACCATCGGCAGACTGGGAATCATGGCCTTGTGGCATTCAAGGGTGTTCAACGCTTAGCCTGTGGGAGTGGCAGGCACAGGTTTCAACCGTTCCTCGCGGGGAGTTGCTTGAGCCTTCCTTATATATATCACATCAGTGTGTGTACCATCTATGTCATACCTGTTCTCTTATCAAACATGCCTTTTTGCCCCCAGCTAACTAGATACAACGCGCAATGCATACAAAGTGGTAAGTTTCTTCCCAGCTAGGCACAAACAACCATCACATGTTGCAAAGCTACCAACAAACACCCTGATTTCAACCCTTGTTTGTCACACACGTTTCAATCTAATAGGTTGGTACATTGAGACTGGCCCTTTGCCATCGCTGACTCTTTTTTCACCAAAGGTGGTCCCATAAGAAAGGTCAAACTACAGTTCTCACCGCGCTGACTAGCAGAATGCCACATCAGAGTCTGCAAATCAATGTGGGGCCCTGCTCGCTCCCAACATTGAAGCAAATCGCAGCCCCAAGAAATATTGTCAGCAAGAAAGCTACAACGACCCTCACTCAACCTCATTCGGTGGAGCAGCTAACACTGCAATAAGCTGATCCAAAACCAGCCAGTTCGTGTTGGCTGCACTTTCCACGCGGATTTCCAGATCCTGGATCTTGTTGTGTAGATCTTGTGCAAAGGTTCCCTCTTCGTGAGGTCCCTTGCACAAAGTCTCAATATCCTCAAGCATCATCTCTATTTGGATAAGCAATGTGAGAATTTGTCGATGTCTCACATATTGCTGAATAACAGGTGGCAAAACACGGGGAGGCTCCATTGGATAAATGAGGGGGGCTGAAGGTTCTAGTCCTAGTTCTACTTGCAGCTGCCCAAAATTGAACGCTGCCCTGGGAACAAAGTGTGTGCAAATGAAAAGGCGTTGCTTCCAGAATTGGTTTTGCTGTTCGTTGCTGTGTTTGCAGTGTTTGTCCAGGTCGAAGTGAAACAAACTTGTGCTCACAAGAACTTGCGCAGCTAGCCACATGAGGTGGCAAACTGAATGTGGTCTTATATTAATGAACATTGAACGCAAAACTAAACTCAAACACCAACTCGAAAAGCTCCATCGCAAGTTTTGGTGGCACTCTCAATCATCAACCCTCCAAATATAGTCTTGACAGTCGTTGTGTTTTCTTTCCTTCATAGTTGGTTTTCCAGCTGCCAATACAGCTTTCCTGTAGTCTGCGCTGTCTTTGACAACCCAATCGCGTAGCACGCCCAGGAGTAAAAACAGAAAAAGACTGGACCATGGTTTGTCAAAAACGGATGACAAAACATCAAAACATATCTTGTTTTCCTAGGATGGCGTGCGCCCCCACTCAAAGCTTCACAGGACTACAGTGCCCAGCGCATGGCCAATCGCTCATTGACCCCTAGGGGAAAATTCACTGCTTGCCAGCCTTTGGCTTCGCAGTCTTCTTCGGAGCTTTTGCACTCTCTGCCCGAGCCCTCTTGGGCTGTGGTTCAGCCACCTCTTCATCGCCATCTTCCTCTCCCATCTTCTGGTCTTCTTGCCCAGAAGACGCAGATGCACCAGCAGCAGCAGCAGATACCAAAGACTGCAAGGTGTCGTGCAACTTGCCAGTCTTCAAGCCTGCAAGCAAACCATTGTCTCGCATCAGAAGCTTGGTCATGTCCATGGTTCGCTTGGCGTGGCCCTGACAAAGGGCATGGATGCGGCCTCCATGGTGTTCTTCACAAGTAACAGAGCAAAAAACGTGATCACCGGGGATGGCCACCACCTTTCCCTCCTGAAGGTGGACTGCCCAAGTGCACATGTGCTTGAAGGTGGCCCAACTTTGCCTCTGCAAAGTTTCACGCTTGGAAGCAAGGTCCTTTCCACCCATCTTCTGCAACGGGAAGCCCATGAGGTAGCAAGATCCCTCCAAGCTGATTCGCACATCAGCCATTCCAAAGTCAGGCAACAAATGCACCGCGCAGCTGTTTTCATCCTGCTGGTAGAACTGTGGCTGAAATAGTTCTCGCAAAACCTCAGGGAATTCACGGACAAACTTCTCACATTCTGGGCCCAACAGCTTGGACCAATAGCCTGCCAGCTTCTTGCTGACAGTGCTTTTGGTGCACAAGGCTGAAAGCCAGGTTGCGCCTCCAGACTTCTTCATCTGCTCAGCGACCCAGACTTTCTGAAATTTGAAATAGTCGAAGCCCTTCATGTCCGAAGCGTATGGCAGGCCCTGTGTTGCTGTGAAAACAACCGGCGTGACTTCGGCAGCATCCTCGCAATCCAACATGTCTCGCCCCAAGTTCCATCCATTGCCCTTGTCTTCAAAGCCATCGAAATTGGAGTCCTTCAAGTCTTGGACAGCTTGCTTGCACAAAGGCAAATCAAACCAGCTGGTGGCGTTTCCCACCTTGTTATTTGCAGCAGCCCTGGCTTGTGCGCCAGCCTTCTCTGCCTTTTTGGTTTGGGCCTGCGTCTTGCACAGCCATGCTTTCCAATCCTTGACCTTGCCCTTCAACTTTACCCATGCCTCATCCTGCGCATTCCAGGTCTTGAACTCCTTGGCCACTTGGCCAGCATCAGTATGCAGCTGCTCAGCATTCTTAGTCAGCTCTGCCTTGGTTTTCTTATCGATCCACTCTTTCTTCAATTCCTCGATTGAACTGACCACCTCAGGAACCAAGGCCTGACACTCTTCTTGCTTCTCTTCACACTCTTTCCGCAGCAGCTCAGTTTCGAGCAGGGAGCCATCTTCCTGCGCTTGCAGGATCAATGCCTGCTGACGGGCCAATAAGTCAAACATGCTCTGGGTTGTCCTATCAATTGCAGCCTGAAAACCCATTGCTTCAACCCCAGCACTCTTCACTGTAACCTTCTTGGCAGCAGTTTGCTTTGCAGTGGCTTCACTCTCAAGCTGCTCCATCCACATCTGTTCAAGTTCTTGCTCCACCTGCTTTGCCTTTTGCAGGTCAGCTTGGACATTGAGCAGCTCTGTGGGTTTCTTGAGTGTGTTTTCCAGCATTGCATTCCGGTCAGACTCCAAGCGCCAAGACCCTTTGTCCACTCGATCAGCAGCCTCGGCCCTGAAAGTAGCGAGGTCGTCCTCATCAGTGATATCAGCCCTTTGTCGGACTCCAGTTGTCAAGCTGTGCCTATTGCCAGAATTCACCGCAAAACCAGTGAACCTTTGCAGCAAAGTCTCGCCCCTTCGTTCCATGGTTTTTGATCCTGGCTTGAGGCACTCTTGTCTGAAACCAGCCTTGGCAGCTTCAAAGTTAGGGAAAAGGCCCAACGTCAACTGCCTGGCACACCAGTCCTCCTCTGTTTCGAAGATGTCTCGGTCGCCTGACTCCAAAAAAGATTGGTTCTCTTCATTGGCATATCCAACTCCTGTTGAAAAAGTCCTCTTCGAAGTCCTTTCCTGCCTCTTCCGCTCCTCCTTTTGCTTGACATACCACGCAGCCCTTTCAGCAGGAGTAATCTTGCTGACCTGTGCTTTCAAGGCTTCAGCCTTCTCACGCTTTTCCTTCGACGCCTCACTCTCAGTTTCGCCGCTCTTTGGTTTTTTGACCATCCTTTGTAACCATTTGTCGGTGGAGCAACAGTCCAAGCAGTTCCTCCTCAAGGCATTCCTTCCATTTGGAAGCGAATCCTTGATCAGAGTGGGTTCCAAACATTTCATGCAGTTCAAACCCTGCTCTGTCGGATGCGCAGCAGAGGCAGCAGCTGTTGCTTTCTCTGGCATGGCTAAAGAATTCAGCAAAGCTGGACAGGCCTTCGAAGGGTCACTTACGGGCTATCCTGCTTCTCAAAGGGCTAGACAAGAGGCGCACAAAATCAAAAGAGACTCAAAGAAGCAATCAAAGACATTCCAACAAACCCCCCAAGAGGTCTAGATTCTATTTTTACACACTTGACTCCATAAGCACGCAAAGCCTTGGTCACCATCTATCAATGTTTCCTTCTTACGTCCAGCCTCAAAAAAATCATTATGGACACCATGTTTTCCTGTGGAGGTGCACGGTGAGGCTGAAACAGAGTTGCAGTTGCAGTCAAGAAGCAAATTCTGCCTGGGCAAACTTGGAGCTACAACGATCTACAATGTACAAGTTCGGAGTCAGGCTGGATTCAATTGGCTGGCGGCAAGCAGAACTCAGTACCAGGGCTTGCTGCTGCTCATGAAATTCGTTTTCGCTTTCGAGCAGGGGTAGCAACACAAGCCTGGGCCTGCTTCAAACTCACCTTTGGTGGAGGCCCTTCAGAAGGCACCAAGCCCATGAGCTCCTCCTCACTCAAAGGCTTGCGAGAGCCAGAGCTACGCTGAAGAACACCTGCTCGGGCAGCGGATTCAAGCAATGGAGCCAGCATCGCGGCCATTGCCAACACATTGAAGGCGTTTCCGCTAGCCTTCATCGAAGCAGTACGGCCTGCAAAATGCTCGGCCAAGGCATGAGGGTGTCCTTGTAAGGCAAATCTTTCCCTCACCGTGAGGAAACGATGGAGACGTTGAGCTTCCCAAGGACCACTGATGTCATCCACTGAAAGTAGGAAAATCTGAGGACCACCACACCTGAAGCTGGGGACACAATCAAACACCACTGTGCCACCATAGGCGCGAAGGGGATTGCGGTCCAGCTCGCAAGCTACTACCGCAGCCTCCACACCATCTTTGATGGCTTCCATGGCCATTCTCTTGTATACACTCAAGTTGGAGCGCATGATCGGGGTCAATTGCTCTGGTGACAGGTTGGGCGCCCCTTCTTCCAGGAAGTCTTGCAAAGCAAACCTTTTGACACCAAGGCTCTCCAAGCTGACTGGCGGAGGTAGTCCTTCTTCAGGTTGCAGCAGGCAGTCAACACGAAGACCTCGAACCCATAGCCTTGGACGGCTATGAGGGACCAGGGAGGAAAGGTCATGTGCCTGGACTTCAATCTTGAAGAAGGGCGTTGAGCAAGTCAACCTCTCTATCAAGTGCCAAAACTCGCTGTGCTCCGCAAGACGTTCAGAGTTCTCTAAGAGGAAAGCAACCAACTCACCCTTCCAGGCTAGATCTTCAATCCAGTCGATGCACCTCTCAAGAACCTCACTGCGAGAGTCGCTGAACCCCATCTTCTTTCCATTTCCTGCATATGGTTGGCACGGAGGGCCAGCGACGAATACTTCACATGGCTGCAAGCTGTCCAAAGGCTTGCTCAGCATATCTCCTTCAACAGGTCCAGACTCCACTGTGTCTAAGCCACCCTCTCCTTTTTCTTTCAATGAATGGTAGAAGAGAGCTATGTCCTTGTCAAAGTCAATGCACGCTGTCGCCTGGTATGGGATTCCGGAGGCCTGCACCCATGTCCGCAGCCCTCCGACTCCGACACATGGCTCGGCCATGCTGGGGCATCGGCCAAGCCAGCGGAAGATGCGGCCGACTTGGTGCAGGATGTTCTCCATGGCCAGGACAAGGGTCGCGCTGCAAAGCTGTATGTTTCACACAGTCCACAGCTAACCGCTAATCTTCGCTCCCTTTGCTTCTCCGGGTAAAAAAACTGCAAACAAATGACGCAATCAAAGCAAAACAAAAAAGTGATCTGGCACACTCCTTTCGTTTCGCAACTCCACTGCAAAGTGATTGAAATGTTGCAAGAGGTCTGAGTCTGAGGTCAAGTATTAGGAATAGATCTTGTGACTTGGGCACAATATCTGGAATAGTTAATAGAGTGGCAGCGGTAACGGTTTGAGACCGCAGGGGTAAAATAGGTTGATTTGCAACTGCTCTCATGGTTTTCTCAAGCTTCATCTATGGCACTCTCACGGTTGTCCAGTAATTCTCTCAAGATTCTCTCTCAAGGTGTTTCTGAAAAGTTCTCTCAAGGTGTTTGTCGAAGGTTTTTGTGAGTCTGGGGATTCTGTAAAAAAAATGCTGGAGCCCAAACAGACTTCCTGCCTCTCCACCTTGCGACAACAAAAACACTCTTGAACGTTTTGGCTTTCAGAGTGCAGCTGGCAGAATTCAAAGCGCAATAGGTGAAATAGATGAAAGAGTAACAGCAGGCAGATTGACGAGGGCAGGTTAGGGAAAGACCAGGCATGGGGCGCGCAAGACACAAGTAAGACGCCGCCAGAAGCATGAGAGACACTGCAAGACACACGCGAGACACACGCGAGACACTGCAAGACACACGCGAGAC